CTCTCTCTCGAAAGACTCCTCTCCTAGCCACAAAGACCACATTCTCACTGGGTCTGTAGAAGAGGTAACCAAAGGATTTTTGTGGATAGCCGATGAAAATACACCTTTCACTTCGAGGTTCGAGCTTGTCATGAGTCTCACGCCTCACGAAAGCCTCGCAACCCCAAATCTTGATGTGGTCCAAATTGGGAACTTTCCCAGTCCACATCTCATGAGGTGTTTTGGCAATCTTCTTTGTAGGGACTAGATTAAGGATGTGGGCGGCAGTCTCTAAGGCATACCCCCAAAAAGAGATTGGTAGCGAAGCTCGACTCATCATAGAGCGAACCATGTCCAACAAAGTTCGATTACACCTCTCAGCCACACCATTCAGCTGTGGTGTCCTAGGAGGTGTCAATTGTGAGACAATCCCACACTCCTTAAGATAGTCGAGGAACTCAATACTAAGATACTCACCACCTCGATCGGATCGAAGCATCTTAATGTTCCTGCCCAATTGATTTTCTACTTCATGTTTAAACTCTTTAAACCTTTCAAAAGTTTCTGACTTGTGTTTGATTAAGTAGACATAACCATATCTACTAAAATCATTAATAAAAGTCACATAATAGCGATTAGCATCCCTTGTGGCGGTTTTGAATGGTCCACATACATCAGTATGTATAAGGTCCAACAAACCCTCACCCCTTGCACAAGTACCAGTGAAGGGTGATTTTGTCATTTTTCCAAGTAGACAAGACTCACAACTATCATCCGACTTGAGGTCGAACGACTCCAAAACTCCATCCTTTTGGAGCTGGCCTATGCGTTTCTTGCTTACATGTCCAAGACGACAATGCCACAAAGATGCTTTATCCAAGCTAGTAGAAGAATCAATACACAATACATTATTCCCTAAATTATCTACAACCGATACAGCTTTATACACACCATCACAAGGTAATGCTTTAAAAATAAAGAATATTATTAAAGAAAGCATTAATACTACCAACTTCATTATCAAAAGAAAAGGTAAAACCTTGTTTATACAAAGCATGAAAGGAAATAATATTCCTCGCCATTTCAGACGAGTAAACACATTTATTCAAATCTAACTTTAACTCACTATCTAGCAACAAAGTATAAACTCCAATCTTGGTAACAGGTGTAACCTTCTTGTTCCCCATGATTAAGTTTATCTTTCCGTGCTCCACATCCTCACTTCTTCTTAGGCCCTGCAAGTCACAACATATATGAATACCACAACCTGTATCAAGCACCCAAGAATTAGAATATGGTGAGTTATTAAACAATATAGTGTAAATACCTGCATGGGATGGTTTCACTTTTCCATCCTTGACATCCTGCAAGTACTTTGGGCAGTTTCGCTTCCAGTGCCCCTTATTTTGACAGTAGAAGCATTCAGCATCCTTAGGGATGGCAGAAGGAGTGATAGAACCACCTTTGGTTCCAGATGAGGAGCCTTCAAGGGACTTTCCCTTGGTACCCTTCGAAGGGTGCTTCCTCTTCTTCCCTTTGCCTTGCCCGATAGCCAAAACAGGGGTAGTAGTAGGAGTAGGAGTAGCAACCGACTTACTTTTAAGACCACTTTCGGCAGTCTTCAGAAGTCCTTGAAGCTTACTGAGTGTGACTTCCTCCTTGTTCATGTGGTATGTCATACGAAATTGATCATAACACGAGGGCAAGGAGTGCAAAATGATATCAATTGCCAACTCCTCAGGGAAGTTCACATTCAGTTTTATTAGACGGTCCACATACCTTTGCATTTTCTGCATGTGGCTCGTGATTGGTTCGCTATCCTTCATACGGGTAGTGATCATGGAGGAGATTATTTCATACCGCTCTTGACGAGCACTCTGATGGTACCTTTCCATCAGATCCTGATGCATCTCAAAAGGGTAATAGTCCTCATAGGACTTTTGGAGTTCAGCTGTCATGGTGGCCATCATGATGCATGTCACCTTGGTGGCATCTCTTTCATGTGCCTGATACTCAGCGACCTCCTCAGGAGTAGCAGTGGACTCATCAAGCTCCTTTAGCTCCTTATCGAGGACATATTCCTTGTCCTCGTAGCGAGTGACCATCCTGATGTTCCGGATCCAATCCATGAAGTTGGAACCATCAAAGATGACCCTCCCACAAAGGTTCATGAGGGAAAAGGAGCCAGTAGGGTTAGAGCCCGAAGCATTGTTGTTGGAAGACATCTGAAAAGAAGAAAACAAGTTTAGATTAGATATATGTCGAATCCTTAATAATACACCCAAATGTAATATTAAGGCTAGGACCCAACACAATATATTATAACTTAGAAGAGGGATGCCGTAATCTAAGCTATAACATATTTGAAGGTAGGTGAATGACGATTCACCAATTTCCACCATGAAAACGAAATGAATTACTAGGTTTAATTGGTTTTTGAAATTCCTAGATTCTTTTGAGATTCATTGAACTTTTCAATGACATGTTTCAATCTCGATTGTGCCCTTCAAGTTTTGTGACTGGGATGCCGAGGATCACAAAACAAGGTGTGAATAACCATGCAAATTCACTTGGTACCCTTAATATTATCACCTAATCAATGTGTCGGTTAACCACACACGCTCCACCGATCTATGATAAACATTAAGTCACCCTTCGTGATCCTTACTAGTCTAAGTTAGTGTGCCGGTTAAACACACACGCTCCACCAACGACTTGGTAAGGTACAAAGTGTGAATTCCATGGGTTAGCACCATATTCACATTTTCCTAAAGTAACTAAGATTGGGAATTTATAAAAGGTTTAGTTACTTTATAATTCATTATACTTTTAATGAGAATTTATAAGTCCTTGTCCTACCCGTTCGGCTAACGACCCTCCACCAGTCAAGCAAGCGGTGGGTGAGAGTGGACACCCATTAAGTTGCCATTTTACAGGCAACAACCTTATACCCACCTTATAGACTGGCTTCGTGAATGAGGCGTACTAGCGGTAAGACGACTTTGATCTTATACATATATATATAATAATTAACTATTTATAAATAATATAAGGGTTGAATTTTAACTTTTAAAACTCTAAGGGTTTGGAATTAAAGTATATTAAAGTGTGTGTAACTTTACAAATTCCAAAACTTGAGGACAAGTTTTGAAACTATTCAAAACTTTTCATTTCATAACTTATGAATTAAAGGTTCATAAAAATGAAGACTCTTCATTTCCATGTAACTTATGTGTTTTAAGTGTGTGTTTAAAAGAAGTGACCTTTGGATATCCATAACTTGAGGACAAATTACGGACTCCATTAAAACACATAAATGTTCAAGAATTAATCCTAAACAATTCAGCAAATAATTCCTATCATCTTCTAAATTCATAAGAACATGAACATGATCATCAAAGTTTCAAGAATTATATGAACACATACAAAGCATCAAATTTTTATATAAGCTATTGTAAATGGATTAGAACAACCATTACACCAACTAAAACAAGTTTTAAAACACCAAAACAGTTTAGGGTAATGTTTCTAGTCCATTTCCAGCAGCAAAAGTCGAAAATATGCATTCTGAGGCTCCTACTCGTCGAGTGCACATGAACTCGGCGAGTCCCTCCATGGACTCGGCGAGTTCATCAGTCAGACAGCAAAAAAATCGACTTTTTATCACTATTTTGCATCAAGTATCAAACAAACAAGCCTAGTCTCTGATACCACTGTTGGGTTTTGAGCATTCTAACACTTCCTAAGTGTACATGCAACCCTAATAAACCTTGGATCTATGTTTGTCTAAGGTACATGCAAAATATTAATTTCCAAGGTTTATAACCTATCTAGCATGGCATGGGGTACTTTTAAACATAAAAGAACTAGATGAATTCCATACCTTTTGTTGATTGTTGATTCCTTGGAGTTTGAGAGCCAAGCACCAATAATGTGAATGCCTCAAATGGAAATCACAAATCACCACAAACTTGGAAAATGTATGAGAGAGTATACTAACTCTTAGATTTCGGCCACCACTATTACATATACACTTAGGGTGTTTTTCATGCAACATAAGCTTGTTTATATAGTATACATGGTTAGGGTGAAACCCTAATAACCCATGTCTTTTCCTCTTCCAAGTATCCATGGGTTAAAAGCTCCATGGATCATCCATGGACTTCCATATAAGCTTAGCCCATTAACAAATGAGCATTAGCCCACACCATATAAATATAATAGCCCATGATTTAATTAGTCTTCCTTTTAATCACTAAATCAATTCATAATTAATTCAAGATTAAAACTAATTAAATAACACGACTATATATTAATATATTATAACTTATAATATATTAATAAATCGTAAGTATACAATTCTCATAAAATTATCCATAAATACTTTGGGTGAAGTGCAACCCAAATGGACCATGCCGGGTCGGGTCAAGTATATACCAAATAAGTTATGGACTTAGACACCTTATCCAACAATATATATATATATATATATATATATATATATATATATATATATATATATATATATATATATATATATATATATGTGTGTGTGTGTGTCTGTGTGTGTGTGTTTATAAATAATCATCATGATCGCCGTCGGTCGAACTACTCCTCCTCTGCAATTAGTTGAAAATGAATGATGATACTCTGCGTCGATGTCTCCTCAGCTGCGATTCATCATCCCTATAAACCCTCCGACTATCTGAAAATGTTCATTCTCACACTTGGTAGACACAAACCTTCATCACCAACCGACGATCATGTGAAAAGAAAAAATTTCTTGATCGATCAATGGCAGGAGATACGAGCACCGATCCATGGGCGAAGAAAGGTTTCAACTGTCGAGCATTACAAAGGAACCACTAACCACCACTCCAATCGTATAATATAGGAAAGGTAACGACAACAATATAACGATTATAGTGGTTCATGGAGGAAATTTTACCAATTTTCCATGTAAATCCTATGCAAAAACATCAGTAGCATATATTACTTGGGTCAACATTGAATTGCTAGACATGGTGTTGCTAGGGCGATTTTATAAAAGTTTGGGTTATGAGACTTTTGGTTACTGGGATTATATGCCCATTGAGGAGCATCAGGGTTTGACCATGGCCCCTATTGTAGACGAGAATGTGTTAGGAAATTTCAAAATGATGGCTAGGGCACACAAATTTCATGAAATTGAAGTTCTATACGTAGAGCACAAGACTAAAATTGTGCCAATGAATTTCCCCAACTACTTGATGAACTCACCATCGATGATGATAGAAAAGCTTATCGATCTTTTGGTCACAGAAGACCCAAGGGCAACAGTTGATGATGGATTTGCATACATCAAGCAAATGCTGAACATGACAATTCCATGAGAAAAGATTGAAGATGTCATGGACATGGCTAAAGAGAATGCCATTGCATGGAAAATGTTGTAGTGTAGGCAAGTTTAATATGTTTTAGTTAAGTTAGCTTAATCATTGTTAATATAATATATATTTTATGAAAATGTGGATGTAACACAACATCCAATATTGTAGTTATTTTGAAACTCTTTTTGATTACAGTAATATAATAACAATGCACTTTGTAGTTTACTATTTTTGGTTCTTTCTTCTTGTTATGGTATTACTATAAACATCAGTAGTTAGCAACTTGTTTATATGTTAAGCCCCAAAAATTAGTGGTTAAAAGAAATACTTTATGTTAGTGATATTATTTCCCTAGTAATTTTTTATAACAATAATGTACTATGTTATTTCACCATTTGATCCATGATTTGCAGCTGCAGTTGGTTTAAACAGATAATCATAAAGAATTGATGTATAGTGGTGTCTATAATAAAGGTTACTATAGTAATGTGAACAGTTTTGAATATGGAATTGTACTTTAAATTTAACCATTTACCTCTTTAATTTTTTTTAATTAATTGTCAATAGAAAGCTAAAAAAAGATTAATTAGACAGTTTAAGATAAAAAAACAAGAAGGGGTATAATTGTCATTTTTTTCAAGTCAGGGGATTAAGTAAACAGGTTAAAGAATTTTTTTTGACAGTGAGTGTAAGCAGGGGTATTTTTGTCTTTTTTTAATTTTCAAACAAAGAGATTAATTAAACATTTTAAGAAAAATGGCAAGCAGGGGTATAATTGTCTTTTTTTTCAAGTCGGGAGATTAAGTAAACAGGCCCAAGAAAAATCTTTCACAGTGAGTGTAACCAGGGGTTTTTTTTGTCTTTTTTGTTTTTTATTTTCAAACAAAGAGATTAATTAAACATTTTAAGATAGAGGGAAAGCAGGGGTATAATTGTCTTTTTTTTTCAAGTCAGGAGATTAACTCTACAGGTTAAAGAACAATCTTTGACATTGAGTGTAAGCAGGGGTATTTTTGTCATTTGCTTCTATTCCAAATATAATATGTAATAAGTAGTTATATTTTTCTTTTATCATAACCAAATATATTATGTAATAAAACGCAGCCTAGTTGGTCAATGTAGATGGATTTACCGCATATTTATTTTGGAAGATTGTGGATTCGAACCCCACTTACAACATTTTTTATTTTTATTTTTATAAATTGCATGTTTGTTAAATCTGTCACACACTAGATAATATCATTAAGTAATTTTTCTTTATCATTACGTAATTTCCTTCATCAATACATAATTTTTTTTGATATATCGTTGATGATCGATGCCCATTAACTGAATATGAGTATTCATTCGATATAAAGTTTCATTGAAGCATTCTATGGTCACTACAAACTCGTTGCTAATACATAATAACTTCTACCAGATATTGATACAGGTACGCATACATCACATTTGTATAAGTCCTTCAACGACATAAAAAAAACAACCCTTAATATAAGAATTTTTGATATTTTGTTTGATAATGAATTTAATTAGCATGAATATATGCTATAATCTACAATTAAAGTTGAATTGGTTTCCATGTATTGAATTTATTTATTATATTGTGTTATTCCTTTATGTACACCAACTGTTTGATAAAAAACATCAATGAACAGCTGATCTTAATTACTAAATTCATGTATGATAATTGTAGCATCAAAATGGACAAGTATTGGATGGGATCATATAGAAACACAAAGACTTATATAAAAGGTGTTGTAGAGTTTTTGAAATATGTAGTACGCAATTACAAGATTTCTAGGAATATTGATCCTGTAGATACCAAAACAAATATAAAAATTTCATGTCCAAGTATAAAGTGTGTAAACCACATATCTTGTTCAGTTGATGTGGTAGATGCTCACCTATTCAGCAATGGAATTGATTAAACCTACACGAACTGGACTAAACATGGAGAAAAAGAGGAACCACCAAGTAATTATGTTTATATAGAGGAATATGCCATGGAAACATCATACGGTGTTGAATCCACAGACTTCACAAGAGAAATGCCAACAGATGTTGCAGAAATAGTGGAGATGGTTGAAGCTACATAAGATGACTTCATTGGGGACCCTAACAAGTTTACAGAACTGATAGATGATGCTGAGAAGCCCCTATATAAGGGATGTCCTAACTTTACAAAGTTATTTGCAATCATAAACTACTCAACTTAAAGGGTAAGTATGGAGTATCTAGAATAAGTACTCTACAAAATTATTAGGGTTGATCAGAAATATGTTACCAAAAGGAAACGAAATGTACAGTAGTACATATGAGGCCAAGAAAGAATTTAAAACAGTGGGTTCAGGTTATACAAATGTACATGAATGCGTCAGCAACTGCATAATTTATATGAACGAATATGAAGACACGACAAAAATGTCCTACTTGTGGTAAATCGAGATGGAAGGTAGATGAAGAAAAAACAAATTACAAGAATATTCCAGCAAAAGTGTTGTGGTACTTTCCAATAATTCTACGAATGAAATGACTGTTTCATTCAAAGGTTACTGCAAAAGATTTAACATGGCATGCAACTAATAGAAAGGTGGAAATCAGTGTTTTATGTCACCTAACATATTCACCAGCATGGGATACCATAGATGACAAATTTCCTGACTTTGCTAGTGAACCAAGAAATTTGCGTCTAGGCATTGCGGCTGACGGGGTGGATGTGAATAGAGGAACAGGAATCATAGTGTATGGACTATTTTAATTGACATTTACAACCTTCCACCATGGTTTTGTATGAAGAGAAAGTTTATCATGCTTTCGTTATTGATATTGGGAACACCAGGAAACGATATTGATGTGTTCCTTGCACTTTTGGTTGATGATATGAATATATTATTGATAATGTAATCGAAACATATGATGCATATGCACAAGAAATGTTTACTCTACGTGTAATTGTGTTATGGACGATTAATGATTACCCTGCTCTTGGTACATTATTTGGTTGTCCTTACAACGGGTTCAAAGGATGTGTTGTGTGTGGCAAACAAACATACCGTATTAGACTCCCAGAATCAAATAAGCAAAGTTATGCTGGTCATAGACGATATCTACCATATGACCATCCGTTCAGAAGACAAAAGAGGGAGTTCAATGAAGAACAAGAGTTCTCACCATCGCCAATACCTATGACCAGGAAGGAAATATATAACAAGGTCAAATTTATAATTACTAAATGGGGAAAAGTATATAAGGGAAATGGTTCAGAATTCCAAAAGGCTTCTACTATAAGAGGTGGGAATATAAAAAAAAGAGAAAATCAAAGATAGTGGGTAGTTCATATGTTAGCCAGTAAGATACCACATACTAGAAGAAATTTAATATATGGTATAGACGGCTGAGGTATTGGCAACACAATTTGATTCCACATTGTTTAGATTTTACGCACATTATAAAGAATATGGGAGAGAGTATAGTCGGAACAATGTTGAACATTTCGGGGAAGACGAAAGATGGTTATAAAGCTCAATTGGATGTGGTGTATTATGGGTTAAAACCAGAGCTGCATACTAAGAAAGACGGGAACAACACTACACTCCCCCCCAACAGGTTGCACATTGACAAAAGAGGAAAAAGACAAGTTCTTAGAAACTTTTTACCACTTAAGGGTTCCACAAGGGTATTGCTTTAATTTTTTGATTTTGGTGAGTCTGAAGGATAGGAAGCTGATCGGACTCAAATCACATGACTATCACATGCTCATGCAACAATTTTTGCCCATATCAATTCGGTATATTATGCATCCACCCAACAAAGCTATTATTACAATATTTTATTTCTTTTTCAAAACAATATGTAGCAAAGAAATCAAAGTAAATGAGCTCGATAAGTTACAAGAAAGGTTATGTGTGACCTTATACCTTCTTGAGAAACAATTTCCACCATCATTTTCTGATGTGATGATTCACTTAACCATTTACCTTATTAGAGAAGTAAAATTATGTGGTCCAATATTCTTTAGATGGATGTACTCGTTCGAGAGGTATATGAAGGTTATTAAGGGGCACGTGCAAAACAAAAATAGACTAGAAGGCTGCATTACAGAAGAGAGTGTTGCAGAAGAGAAGATTGAGTTTTTTTAGTGTATTCATAAAAAACATGGATAATGTTGGTCTTCCACCTGAGGAGCATAACACAAGTACTGTAATTCAAAGAGGTGAAGATACGGATGAGACTCCTCTATCCGCTGCTAAACCAGTAGAAGTTTCTCCACCACTCTTCAGCAAAGCACATTTATTTGTATTGCAAAATACATCTGAAGTACTCCCGTATATAAAGTAAGTTTTTTTACATGTATGTAATTTTTTCTGTTATTTTACACTATTGTGTTCTTTTCATAATAACTTTTACATATGTACAGTCGACATATGGATTTTTTGCAAAAAAAACACCCGACTAAACGAAAAAGCACAGCTAGAGAAAGAGCATAGTGATACATTTGTTCAATGGTTACGACATGAGGTATTTTATTTTCATATATATTGTTTTTTTCCTTTAATTTATTGGGGATGAGCATAACCGGTCCTAAGTGGCACCCTAACTTATTGAGTGGTTGTTATAGCAATGTACTAAGGCATGTACTTTCCAATACACTCATGCTAATCATTATGTATTTCTTTATATCTTAAATTCATATTCTAATACTATTCAGGTAAAGAGGGAGTTAGTGGTCTACAGAGAAAGTGTAACAGAGACAATGAGATGGATTTCACATGGACCAACCAAGAAAATTATTAAATACGAGGTATATGTTATCAATGGTTATACGTTTCGTACAAAAGCTCATGAAGGAAAAATTTACCAAGACAATGGGTTGGTGTCATTACAACTGACACACACGTTAATAAAGAAGTTGTAACGTATGTCAAAAACACTTATTTTGGTGTTTTACAAGAGATATGGGTACTTGATTATCATTTTAAACATATTTCAATTTTCATGTGTGA